ATGTAATGTTATGATTGTTCCCAGATACCACTTGAGCTATGCAACAATTAGTTTTAGAATTGTCTTCTGTTCATCGATCGAATGTTTCACAATCGTTCGCTAAAATAACGGTAGTGAGTTAACTAAGCTGCTAAGGGAGAGAAGTTTTAAAAATAAATTCAGTATTAGAACACATCATTTTACAGAAGAGCTCGAAAAAAATTAAGAAAAGGAGCTATCATTCAAAAGTAAAAAAACCTTCACAATTTGTTCTTAAATGATCGTGACATTCACACACATTTGATAAAAGGTAAAACACTTCATCTAAACATTCGATCCATACTTTCAAACAGTCGTCTGATTACTATCATGATGGCGTATATAACCACAATTATAATGCCGATCGTAAGATCTTATATTGTCATGAAAGTCGATGAAATTGTTTATATTTATAACTCTCTCTGACTTTCTAAAAGGCGGCTTAAGAAAAGAATCTTAATATATATTTGCAGTCAAAATGTATGAAAGAACTAAAATGAGAACTAATATGTTTCAAACACGAAGAAAAGTTTGATTTAGCCTACTGATAGATGACAGTGGTTAAATTAATGTAGGATCCACGCCACTTATCACCGAAGTAAGCAGAGGGTAACATTTGAATAGAATATGACATATTCAATAATTGAGAAACGTCCGCAGATGTCTAAACACTGTCGTTTAAAAAAGATACACAATAAATTATAAAGGGTTTAGAGAGATAAGTTTGATCTATAATGATATAACACGTAACACCGTCAGAAGTGTTCTTGAAAAACCTTTTCAATCTCTTTTAGATATTATGTCATAAAAAAGATTATTTAATGAACTTGAGGAGCGTTAAATTGTGCGAGAGAGAATACAAATCCTTAATTCTAGAAATGGCCATATTTGTGACCGTGTTGGCTTGAAAATGTGATTTACAATGTAAGACATAGTACATTAGTAAAAATGTATTTTTGGCGGATATAAAATGTTTTTAAGGACATATGATAAATTATATGTCAATGACGTGGTCAAGTACTAAATCTGAATGAGAGACAATTAAACAAGGCAATAATAATTACAACACTGAATGTCAAGCAGTATCAACAAGGCAACAGCATGTCGCAAAATAAAGTTAGATCAAACTATATGTTATTTTAGATGTATGTACACAATTGATGCATACCGAAAACAACAATTAACATAAACACCGATTTCGCTGTTATAAATGAACCAACAGAAGAATGTAAAACACATTTAATCAACTATAGTTAAACAAAAATGTACTTCATCTGCAACGATACTATATATTTTGCTTACGATTCTAACCACCTAGGTATGCACTCATTCTATTGGTATTTAGCAATGAATCTGCTTTTCACCCCAATTATCATTATCGCAATTTTTCATACTATTACATCACAAAACCACTTAATATTCTCCAAAAGAAATGAACTTTTTCTATAATTGTAACAATAACACCCACCTAAAAATTAAAAATTAAGCAAAGATATGTTATAGCAAAGAACACCTACAGTAATTATTTCATTGTTTAAAACCTTCGTGCATTTAATCATGCAACATTGTTACATTAAGATAATTTGTTTAAATAACGCTCTGTTCGTTAGGATACTTAAAAGATAGTTAAGAATATATTTAGCTTAACTATTTCTAAAATCAACAGTTCGAAAGATTTTAAAGAAAATCAACAATTTTCATAAAAAAGATAAAAAGCACGAGAAAAAAAATCAAAAGAACAAGACCGCTCGCCCGCCCGATCGACCGCCCGCCAGGAGCGAAACTGTAACACGACCTGTTTTTCAAACGGGGGTATAAAAAACGTTGACTGTCTATTTGGATTTTTAAAACGTGCCCTCATGAGTAGTCTGTAACCTTACTAAAACGATATTCCCCATAAAAATGTATCTCATAAGAATGGTCATAACTTAAATTCAGACAGGTTCATATCGTTATCGTCTGTGGTCAAGCGTATTATTTTCAAACTGTCATGTAACTCTGCCAATTACGGTCATTGGACATGGTGAAGAAAATAGAATCCAATAATTACATCAGATTAAACCAAACATTGGACCAATTGTATAGGCAACATTACAGAATATAAAGATACAGAATGTTTGTTGCTTTTAAATATTACAAGGTCTTGATATTGGTTGGAAAGATGTCCTTTGAAATATTACTATGTAACGCATTTTTAACAAAAACAATTGCTTGTTTGTGCTTGAATATTACAAAAAATGGTGTAAATTGTGCATGAAATACATGGATATAAATACATATATTAGATTATTTCATCTGCATCATGTTTAATTACTCATCATTTTGTGGTCGTCATGCAATATCAAAGACAAAACAAATACCAAACATGACTTCTAGCCGGGTTATTTCCAAGATTTTGCATCACAACTTCTGACACATTTCTTGTGTGACAACATTTTACCTTTTTTAATTCAAAATTATTTTTTAGTTAATAAGGAGTGAAACTTTACTTTTAATCCAATTAGTCTATTAGAAATTTTTACGTTAGCTTTACATTAAATGTGCATAAATAACTTATAATTTATCAACTTGCTATAGTGACGTACTTAAAACTCTACCTTACAACCTTAATTATAACAGCAAACTAGATCTTATCTCGTCATGAAAAGAACATTTTAATACTGTAAAATGATAAATGTCGCCTGCTTAAAAATTATTATATGAAATGTTTAATTCAACAGCAAATTCTCAAATGAGATATGTTTACAATTACAACACTGACAAGGACATCATTTCTAAAGGAAATAATTTATTCTATCTGTTCTTTTCATCTTATTGAAAAGAAAAACAACAAAAACAACAGCATCCAACAGTGTTGTTATTATGTCAATTGAAAAATGTTGATTTACTTGTTTACATCAACATGTCATTTGTATTTTTAACTTTTTACAAAATACATCTTTTGTATTTTTATTTTTGGATTGAGGAACATGTTAGAATCAATGTATCGTCTTTTGAAATGTTTCATTTATATGTGAAGTATGGTATAAGGATATTATTTCCCCCATACTCTAAAAAAGAATAAGTAGATATGTAAAGATGGACAGATTTGTCTAGACATTTGCTAAATTTATATCAAAAGCACTCTGAAGCTTATGTTTAAATTATAATTCATTTACTGTTGTATTTCTTTTGAGATTACAACTGCATTTGATATACATTTAACAAACTAGGGGGGGGGGGGAGGTTGTCCTATGATACATTTTTAAACCGGAGGGATGTCGTGAAATACTATTAGGAAAATAAAAGACGTATCAATGTTATTGTCTGAAAATTTGCTTGTCCGTCCATACTGTCAAGCTCGCTACGATTTTATTTAATCATCGCTGTATCAGTTTTTAGCAGAATTGTGTTTGTTGTCCAAACATTGTATATTTCTAAATTAAACAAATAGATTATGTTTACCTAGTTAATATTATACAATGAAAAGAAAATTAGTGCAAAATCTATTCTATGTTATGTACGAAAAATCCAAAGAATGAATTACGCTAGACACATCCTGACTTCCTGACGACATCATATCTACCAATCAATGCTATACAGATATACAACATAAATTATGACTATTTTCAAGCGTTGTAGTGCGACACAAATAAGGAAACGTTGACAGAGCTGTCATTAACTTGCAAGTGTTTATCTAACATGTTGAAAAAAAATCATCACAGGATTGAACTTTAGAAATCGATATACAAATTTCTTACTGCTCGTAAATTTATCAAAAGTTTCTTGTGTTGAAATGAGACAAACTAAAGCCTAGATAAAAAATCACTTGCTTACAACAAACGACGTTTTGATTTATCGAAATAGAAATATATTTGAACAGGAATAACACTTTTGATATTGCACTTCAAAACTCGGACAGCTTATGTTATCACTGACACCAGAAAGCAAAAAGTTACAATAGGAATATAAAGAGTAAAACACTGAGTAACAAATTCAATGTTTACACATTTCCTTTCATGTCATGTTTAAATGATATAAGCATATAATGTATTTTTAGAACATTTTCGTACATCACATTCTCATTTAATGCTCATTTAACTATAATTAAATGAATTATTCAATTATTCTTGCCAAGTAATTTTGTTGTTTTCATTACTTCGAAGGAATCATTCCTTTTCCAGAGATTTTATCCTGAAAAGCAATTAAGGAATGCTATTCATGTCCTAGTATATTTTATCCGGCATAAAGACATATAGACTTATAAGGTAAAATATTTACAAATCAATTGATTAACTTATTGTGATTTTTCATGTTTCGTAATATTGTAATGTTTATTTATATCATAAGTAGTCCTATTTTTTAGTTACAAGTACAAAATATACACATGAAGATTTAAAAAGCTTTTTTTTTTGGCAACATCGTATGCATTTCATTTTTCTTTACGAAATTAATAGTCGCAGGAGCAGACAAGTCTCAAAGTATGATGTTTAATATCTGTACAAACTTTGAAATAATGTTAAATTACATTTAAATTTTGAATGCCAAACTAGGCTACTTGTTCGCAGTCACGTTTTGTTATCTATTCATGTGTTTGCACGTTGAAGAATGCGATCTGGTTGCATAATTTATTTACATAATGTCAGAGTTATGACATTACATAAAATTACAATCAACATGTATGATAACATGACAACTTTACTGATTTATAACTGAGCTAAATCTTTAATTATTTAGAGATGACACAATGTAAAACGAATCGAATGCCTTTTTTGTAAGCGGAAGATATAAAGCTGGCGATAAAATGCGAGATTTATAAGGAATATTATAACAAACGTTAAATTATTTCTAAAAACTCAATTGCAGGTTTATATCGTAAGCAGTTTTAATGAAGTTAAATATGTATTTTTCTGTCGGGAACAAACATTCTCCAGCGTTATCAGACAAGTGATGTCAGCGTATCAGATTTTAAAATGATTTCATTCTTTGAAAAATAAACTCACCTCTCAAAGGCGCCGGTGTTGATCGTTGACCAAGACAAAATGAGAAAAAATCAGGGCAACAATCTCCTCTTGTTCTATTACAAAACTCGTCACAATAACACAACGTGTCAAGAATAGGAACCGAACACGTGTCAATACGCCCTTGACAACATCCCCCGGGGCGTGTTGAACAATAAGGACCGGCTATATCCGGACCCCATTCTATATATCTTTTTGACCTATGTAAACGTTTAATTTCAGCACTTTCGCACGTTATCATCACAACAAAGAAGAACAGAACACAAATCAAAATTCCTAATTTTGCTTTTAACTGATTCATTATTATTTTAATTAGAGTAATATTTGTTATCAAACAGGATTATATTGTCCAATCGTTCAAATTTTAATTGTTACATCTAAAACGTCTAATCACATGCAAACATACAGTAACTCCTGTTACCCATCTTCATTTATATCATCCGCTTTCTGTTTCGATTTTGTATTTTTCTGTTATCAGTTTATTGTATTAATTTCACGCCAACATTTCAGTGCACCAATTTTAATGCGCAAACGAAAAACGAAACACTGTAAATGATGAATATTTAACACTACTTTATATCTTTCACATTTAAATCCAACCGTTTAATATACCTCGTATTGTATTAATCATTGAATAGTCGCTCAATTTATCTTCAAATGACATTTTGTAAAGCAGCTCATCATTGATGCAGCGTTTAAATTTGATAGTTTAACCGTGTACTATGACAAGTAAATTAAGTCTAATATTATATCCAAGTGTCGTATAAGTCGTGTATAATCGTGTATAAATATAAAGTTTACAAGCGTTTAACGAAAGTTTTAGATAAAACATCCCTTTGCCTACTTCAATGTATTTTCAACGTAAAACACATGAAATGTAAAATGGCCATATCAAAATGCATTAGCTAATGTTTTCTTTATTTGGTAATTCATCAAAGTAAAGCTGTGCAATAAAAACCAATCCAAGAATATCTGTTATATATGCATCGAATTATGTAAATTCCACATTTATTTATCTATTTGTTAATATTCATTTTTATTATTTGCAAAATAAGCGTAAAATCTTATTTTGTGAATTTATTAAAGATAAAACCAAACTAACTAACCATTTATAACTGATTTGACTGAAATATGAAATTAGTATTAAAATTGGGATTGATTAAACATTACATAAAGGTGCAGATTTTATCCTTAAAATAACGCTGAAAATGTATGCCCATTTTGTCCACTGAGATTTGTACATTATTGTATATAAGCATACAAATCATCATTTGGTTTTGTCTTTTATTATTTCTCTATTGTTATGTATCTATACACAGCCTTGCTTTCTCCATATCCAATCTTAGATTATGATTGTTCCTTTCAACATGGATGCAAAATACCGTGTACCTAATCACCATATCCAGTATTGCAATACATCATTGATTTATAAATAAATATTTATTTATGCATCGCAAAAGGCAGAATAATCTATATATTAAGTCAAGCCTTGGAAACGCATGCAGTAATCGTAAAGGTTCATATCTACAAAAAAGTGTGAAATATCTATCTTAACATTATGTATGCTACATTTTTCGGCACATTATATGGTTTACATTTTCTAAAGCAGAGTTTGTTCTATAGGTTACATGCTATACTTAGCTCAAACAATGGCAACCTTTCAAATATATTTATTTGCAAAATAAATGTGTGAAATGTGCCATCTGCATGGGCATTTAAATCTGTATAACAGTTCACACATTGAGATAAATGCTGCTAAGAAACAACATGAGTATTCGGATACTTAGTCCCTTTTCTGGCATCAGGTCAGGCTTTAGCTTGTTGATGTTAAGCTTACGTTTACTCAGAGTAACTCAGAGCTCTAATTTCGGTTCTCTACTCTTTAAGTGCATTAGTACGTTGAAACAAAATATGCAGAAATTGTGGCATCTGTCGTTTGATTCCATTGCGGGCTCATCATGACTGCGTGTTTTTACGTGCAATGTTATGATTGTTTATTATGTCACATGACTGTTTCTTCTGTCGAAATAAATCTAAATACCAATGCCATTAATCATTCAAAATTCACTTCATATTATAATGTAAAACTTATGGGCTGATTTTGTATCATTTTACTCATGTGTATGAGTAGAAATTTTGTTAAATTAAAATATTTTGACTCAATGCCTTTATCAATTTCCTAATATAATGTAAAATATAAATAAAATATTAATTCTTTCTTATTCACAATTTTCTTCATATCGCTCTGTTTGATCTTCTATGACACAGTGAATGAATTAATTTGATTTATAGCTAATTTGTATGTATTTAATTCAAAATTTCATATCTTCATCTTCATGGTAATGGAGAAAATATTTACAATTGCAATAACTTTAAAAGTTAATGACCCAGATGCAAAGTAAAAAGCGACTGAATATAACTTATTACAAGAAACCGAGGTTTTGTTTTCTAGTTTAAAGTGGATTGGTCTACAATGGGCACATTTTCCATAATTGTTTCCAAATATTGATAAAAAACTGTAGAAATGTATCATTTGGACATTCTTATAAAGAGTTGTTTAAAAAAAGTGTTGATTTAGTTCTAAGTGACTTATAATGAACATTTATATGATCGATAATAATATGTTGTTCTAGAACAGTAAAATAATTGCTATATAAATATATGTGTCGGATCATGTATCTCACACTTGCCAACAACTTCCACATACTCGTAGTTCTTTCGTGGTTTGTCGTTATGTCTGATACTTAATACTGTTAACGTTATTATTCATTGTATTACCAACCTTATATTATAGACCAATTCACTTTAAGCTATCACAACATGTAAATTAATATGAATTTTGAGTATTAAGCGAGAATGTTATATGGATGAACAGTATTACAAGTCTATTTTTTTCAAATCAAAAATAAGATCGTTGTTTTATGTACATCATCATTCCACATATGTCTAGATTTGTTTTATTTTCAGAAGTATATTGCATATCGTGTACTGTAAAGTTAACGACCGGTGACTAATACATGTACAAGCATCTGTGCAGCAGACAAATAAATTAGTAAATATAAATTAGTTAAAATGGTTCAATATAATGCGAAATGAATTTTTCAATTAGACGGGAAAGGTTTTCATGTATTATTATGTAACGTTGTTATCCTTAATTAAGAGATTCAGTTATATAATGTAATGAACACTAAATTCTGTTGCATCTGGACTAATTTTTTAAAAATCTGAAAAGCTGAAAATACTTTTGACGATATTGTCTGTCATTATTAATGGGGAAATTTTAAATAACAAGTGCGGATTAGACTGAATCTGACATTTAAACCATTGAAATTACTGAAAATACCACACAGATTAAAAATGTGCCTTTAGGTAGTGGATAAAACTACAGTTTTACCTGATTTAAAGACGTTATCAAGTTAAAAGATTATATTCAATTTAGAAAAAGGTGACCATGAAAGTTACTTAATTCAGCCATTAGGATGTATAAATAAAAATGACACTAATCCTCTGACAAGAGCTAAACCATGTGACCTTTATTGACATTAGTTTTTCAAGTCAGTTAATATGTAGCCACATCAGAAAATTAATGGTTATCAACATATTGACTTGTACTTTCATGCTAATTTAAATACAGGGGATAATCGGTTGTACATCATGTCGACAAACCATTTCTGAAATCTCCGCTTTATTTTAAGCAGACGGGTTTGTCGTATTATACATCCTATTAATACACTTTTCCTGGTAGATCAGGTTTAACCATTTTAGGTAATTTCTTACTTTTTTTATTCGTGCATAAAGATTATCAATGTTTAATAAAGTAAGTAAGTAAAATAGTATACTCTCTTGTTTTCTTAACTAGGAGAATGGCCATGCAAATACTCAGAAATGGAAGTTATTTCTGTAAAGGTGCTAAATAAAGTCAGAACTAACATAAAAAAGGAAGCAGGAATAGGAAACCATATGCAACATTTATTCTAAAAATGAAGTCAAATATCATCAACCAAACAATTTTGTTCCAGTGAAATATAATCTGTTGTCCATTTTCCATTATCCGAAATAGAAACAATGTAATGCCATAGAACGAAGAAAAATCTTTCCGGTAAATAGCGATACAGTCCAGCAAATATCGGGCAGACGACTGTGTGATCAACCAGTAATATGACCAGAAGTCAGACATATGCAATGTTATTATTATGCATCGATTCCATTTTTTCGCACAGGCACGCGTACACATTTGTACACAAGCACGCACATGCACACAAAACACTTCAAAAACAAATAGTCTTTGGCTAGATACGTGTCTGATTAAATACAATGTCTGAGTAAGATTTATATTGTACTCAATCTTTTCCATTGTTTATGACATCTACAGAAACGCATTTTCACGTCATTTTTCTGCAATAAGTATCAAAATTCATACACAGAAGGGTCAGCAGCTGAAATGTATATTGAAGATAAGTAAATAAAGACATGACACAATTGTTAATGTTTTTACACAGTACAAACAACATAAATCAACATTTATGTAAATGAAAAACTCAAGCTGATTTATTTTTGCATAGAGAAAATAGTGCCAATCAATAATTGTATTTATTTTGATTGAGTTTTACGTCGCACTGTACCGACTTTACCAACTTAACTAGTGGAGGAAGACCTCAGGTACGCCTTTTTGCATTATTTCAGGCACGAACGGACACCTGAGTAGAACCACTGATGTTCTGTAAGTTAGCTGAATAACTTCCTCACATGGAAGAATCCAAAGTCCCTTTCGGGATTCGAACCCACATCAGTGAGGGGCAAGTGGCTTGAAGTCAACGACCTTAAAGACGGACGTCCAAACAATCAATGATAAACTATGACTTTGTGCACAAATAGAATATATACGTTTTCGACACTAATACTTCAGATGTTGGTTCTTATATTTTGTTGTTGTTGTTGTTGTTGTTGTTGTTCTGTACAGGGCGATATACGATTGGTGATATACGATATTAATCTGATTGGTATTCTAACACTTGCAAATGTCGGCTGGTGGTTAAAACAATCATGATACATGTAAATATATCACTTTTCACTTTTGTCGATATTTCAAGCATATCAATAATCGTCACACACATATATCATTACAATGTGCTGGAAAAAAGTAGATTATAAACTCAAAGTAGAAATACAATGAGATCTAATTGGTATCAAATATCAAAGACAAATGTGTTATGTAGAAATATATATCTTATAGACATTAAATGTTCGTTAGATGCTCACATCATTAAAAACAATTAAAGATTTTGATACGAGACCAGGGTCTCTGTATTTGGAAAAAAACACCTGATAAACTAAACACAGTTATGTTGAGTCTATTTTTAAGCATGGATTTCCAATCTATTTTGCTCACAGTAATTAATAAATAAATTAATAAATATAAGTGATAATAATATTAATAAAAGTAAACAAAACGTATACCCTAGAATAAACAGTACCTTACTTCACATAAAGTAAACGAGAAGGGAAATAAACATTGATAAAAAATATTGTATTGATTAAATGGCTCGACAGCGAGCACATATTTATATATAAAACTTTAATGAATGAGATGTTACAAAAGTTTATAAGAGCTTATACTTGTGGTTATCCTCGTATGTAGGCCAATTAACATCATTATGTTTCATGAAATTATATAAAAAAAACTTTTACAGATGGCATTTGACACTTCTGATAAAAATATATCTTGTTAACATAAGAGTCAATTA